CTTCACAAAGCATTATTAGCTCACGGCATAGCTTCTACCATTAGGCATGGAAAGCCGTGAATGGCTTGCCATGACCATTCTAGCCAGAATCCACAAATACATTTTGTGATGTGTTATAAGCCCTCGTCTGTGGTGAAGGAGACTCAGATTAAGGAGTCTTGGAGGTGGCACAGTGCTTAAACGGTCGGGTGGTAATTTAAAGGTTAATGGTTCCTATCCATCACGCGCTCCACAGGACAAAGATGGGGGAAAAAGACTTACAGCCTCAAAACTCTTTGTAGAAGTTTTACTCTGATGTGTAGAGTTGCTAGGGAGTTGGAGTCAACTCAAAGGTAAGACTTGAAAAAATGCTTGGTATTTTCTGTCTGTGCTGATGGCTCTGTTGGGAGAGAGCTGTCTTTTATGCTACCGAGGCAGGATTTAGGTGGGATGTGGCTTGAGTCACCTTATTAGTCAAGGCACCCCCCCCCTTGACTCCTGTCACCACCCCTTCTCCCCTCCCATCTTTGCTCAAAACAAGCGGGATTTCTTTCATGGCATTTAACAGGAAACAACTGGAGATTTGGAAAGACTTTATTAGAATAGGGATCCATTCTAAGTTAAAAACAAGTCAAAATAAAAATAGAAAAAATAGGTGACGGTCAGAGCTAGTGGTGTTATATCATCTATAGACAGTAGTATCAGTGTACAAGTCTCACTTGTCAGAACACTGTTGTGTCTTCCATCCAATCACACCCCACCACGTGCACGGAGAAGACAGAGCCAGGCTTTCAAAATGTGGGCGTGGTTAGCAGTCATGTCTTTGTTCCACGTGACAGACGTGCAGACTGAGAATTTTAAAAATAGACAATGTACACACACACACACACATACACACACACACACACAAAAGCAGAAGTAAGCGGTCACGAGCCTGGACTCACTCTCCCCCATCCGCTGAGCACAACATACGAAAGTGGCAGTTCTGCCAACACAGTGCAGGCTGCATGGTGTGCAAGTAGAGGCCAGAGTGAACGAGCAGGGATGCCCCTCGCGGGCAGTGAGGAGGGTTTCTGACGCAGTGATCCCAGGGTGTTCCTCTGCAGTACTGCACGCCGCTCATCTTGTACTGTCAGTCCAAGGCCACACCGCTGAGCTTGTGCTATGTCAGTCCAAGGCCATGCCACTGATCTTATACTGTCAGTCCAAGGCCGCGCCGCTGAGCTTGTGCTATGTCAGTCCAAGACCATGCCGCTGAGCTTGTTCTCCTTTTCAATCCAAGGTTGATGTGTGATGGTCAGACCAGCATTTTTCTCCTCAGAGTCTTTCAGAAGCAACCGACTTTCCTCATCAAATTCATCCTTGTTTAACCTTGGAAGAAAGAAAGAAGAGTTTTTGTTTGTTTTTACTTTACACGTTTCTGCTTCTCTATATCCCAATGACTGCTGTTGGTTTTATGTACCATAGAAGTGGGACCAACCCCATGGTTAACCCTCTGGCGGTTTTTCTTTTTATTTTAAATTTTTTTTATTAATTTCAATGGACATCTACAGAGACTTTGGATTTCCATTCATTCATTGTTGCACTTTTCTCCCCACCCCCACAGCGGTTTTTCAAAGGCAGTAAACGACACGGGAGGAGATTGCCCATCCTTCTCCCACAGAGCAGCTGGTGGCCTCGAACTGCGTGTCTTTGGGATTGCAGCGCAGCTTCTTGCCGCTGGGCCACCAGAGTTCCCTATCCTAACGACTACATCCTATTAATTCTTTTCTAGAAATGTGGAGAAGAATTTAGTAAAATCTGAGCCCAAATCCTATCTTTCCTGTGTAATAGGTATCCTCTGTCTTAAACATACCATGGAAGATGCGTGTAACACATGTGAGAAGAAGTCAGGGTTGAAATAGCCCTAGAGGGTGGCCTGTGGCGGAGGTGACAGCTCCCGTCCCCTGGGCCGTCCATGCTCAGGCGCACTGATTAGTCCACCCCATACATCTATCTCTCTGGTGATACAATCCACAGAGAGCTGACCGACTATCTGAGAGGCTGTGCAGAGTCGGCGATCTGAGTCTACCAGCTGCTCCGTGGGAGACAGTGGAATCATTCTCATTTCTGTTTACAGCCTGGGGAACAGATGGCGTGTTCCTGCATCGAAAGAGACTCAATGGGGGGTGAGTTTTAGTTTGAGTTCAGATACACAGCGATGTTTAAGAACTGAAGTAGGCTATCATGCGTTCTTCTCAAATACTCAGATTTGGATGAAGAATCCTGTGTAGCTTAGAAGGAAGGAGCGGTGCGCCAACCCAAAGGCACACGGTTTGAAACCATCAGCTGTTCTACAGGGGTAAAACTGGGTAATCGTCTGAGATTTACTGCCTCCGAAAATCCAGAGGGTCTAGGAGTTGGTGCCGACTTGATGAAGCACACCAACGTGGACCACTCACATACAGGAAAGACTGAATAGTGACAGTTACAGGGTGATTTTTGTATTCCCCCCAAAACCACCACCATCACAGATATGTTTCAATCTTGACCCCTGACACTTCTTTAATGTGACTGTCTTTTCAGATGTTATTAGTCAAGTTTCAATGGGGTCGAGTTCAGAGAAAGTTGGGCAGACTCCTATTAAGATACACAGCGTCACATTTAAGCAATTAGAATCATGTTAAAAACATATTGCACTTAGCTAGAAGGTTTTAATGATCAAGAAATAATGCTGACTTTTCAAAATGTGGAGATGACAGCAACTTCCCGCTTGACTTATTAAATACGCGGAACTGTACAAGTTGATTTTACTGCTGAAATAATGTTATGTGTGGGAAATACATTTCTTTGAGTTTACTTTTGTTAACTCTACTGCCAAATGTATTTTAGTCAAACTTCATTTGCATCAATATTTGTAAGTTCATATTAAAATATGTCATTTTAAAAAAAGTATAGAGCAGGGAGCTCTGGTGGCCTACGGGCAAGAAGCTGCACTGCGATCCCAAAGGTGCACGGTTCGAATCCACCAAGTGCTCTACTGGAGAAGGAGGAGGGACAATCTCCTCCTGTACCAGTCAGATCTGATTTGCTGGTACACACACACAAAAATATTAAAATAAAATTAAAAAATTTAAAAAAATGTATACAGCATCAGAAACCTGAAGGAGGTTTCTTATGAGCTGAAATGAACTTGACAGTTGTGGGGTTTGGGTTCTTACTCCAGTGGGAGTGGATTCTTCGGTGGAGACACACCGAGGCAGAGAAAGAAGAGGCCGCTATGTGATGAGGTGGCAGACGGGAGCAATTTGCTAGACGTTATTGGAAGGCTAGTCCTTGGAAAACAAGAGCTAGCTAAAGAAAGGGAGGTCCTTGACAAGATGGACAGACAGCACAGCAGCGGGCTGACGTGCCAACAGCGGCCATGCCAACGGCACACAAGTGGAAAGGGTTTCTTCTGTTGTGTTTCAGGCATCTGTGAGAAGAAGACAACCGGATGGCTAACAACCACAACAGCATTCGAGAAATTCAACCTATGGGCATCAAATATGTGTCCCACAAGTGCATCCACGACGTGCAGAGCGGTATGAACAACATTTCCGTGTCAGGCCTCTGCTCAGTGCATTAAACTGTCCTCCTCCTCTGCCCCGGTCCTGCCAGCTCGTTGATGTTTTGCAAGTATCGCAAGCAGGAGATGATGTTTTTAATGGTCTAGTTGTTGTCTGAGGGACCTCTCCTCCCACCACCACCACGTGGGTCGCGGGAAGGCAGTGCTCTCTGTGCATTGCACTGGCTGACCTTTTCCCAAGTTGACCACCAGGCCTTTTGCCCTCAGGCCCCCACTCCCTCTGTTAGTCGGAGAGTGTGTTCGGTTTTTTTTTTTCTCCCAGTGGGGGTCCTGCCGGTTGTAACAGAGCAGTGGCACTCACCTCAGGCAGTTTTCAGGAGATAGCTCAGGTTGTCAGGGGAAAAGGCCTGGTAATCTGCTCTGAAAGCCCAGAGGCTTGAAAACACTATGAGACATTTCTACTGTGTAACACAGAGTCACAAGGCGTCAAACTTGACTTATTGGCAACAACACCACCACTAACACCACCACCACAGTAGTGTGGCCTTGCTATGGTGTAACTAACACACTGCTGCGGAGAGCAGTGTCCACTCACCCGAGAACCTCTAGGGTACAGTTCGGGTGGTTCAATGCCCGGCACAGCACTGTCACGCCGTCATGGTCCAAGTTGATCCAGTCTAAGGTCAGATGCTTCAGGGTCATGCAGGTGGTGAGAGCGGAGGCGAGGTCCTCGCTGCAGGCGCTGGTGAGACCGCACCTCTCCAACCTGTGACGGCACAGGACGAGGACAGATGGGTCCCAGCCTGGCCCGTGTGTACAGACGCACTGCAGGCCGCTAGTCCTGCCAGTCCCTGCCTCTTAACACAGGACTCTCCTTGCCACAAAGTGGGGCCTAGCTCCTCACTGACCCTCCGGGGATGTTTTGGAGGCTGGGGAGCACACAGGAGGAGGCTGCCCACCTCTCTCCACCTCTCTGGATTTGAATTGGCAGAGGGGCACCGCCTTTCTGTTAAGAGCAGAAGGCTCTATGTCCCGGGTCACCACTGATCCCCGTTCACAGGACTGTGGTTGAAATCAGTTTCCATCAATGGTACAACTGTGCCCTCCAAGGTCCAATGGTGCAAACTGTCAACCTCTGTCAACTTTTTCTACTCTAAGAATAGGATGCCTTCTACACAACAGCCAACCAGAAGGGTGAAGCTTGGAACTCACCTGTTGGCCCCACGGAAAGAACTGACTGATGACTGTGTCCACAGAGACTGCTGTTTAGAAAAGTCCTCGGAGTGTATCACCTGTCACCTGGGAGGCCCCCACAAGGGGTACCGAGCTCAGCAGCAGCGAACCAGCACCCCTAAAGATGACTTGCGGATACTCACCCAAGCTTTTGTAGATTACAGTTAGGGTGCTTCAAAGCATCACACAGCTGTATGACACCCGCATCTAGTATTTTGTTCTGTCCAAGGTTCAGGGTCTTCAGATTTTGGTTGTTAATAAGAACAGCGGAAATGCTCTTACAACATTCGGAAGAGAGGAAACAATTCTTCAGCCTGCAAGGGGAAGCACACACGTGCACACACACACACATAAGGTCCAATTTTAATGGTTTAGTTTTATTACCTAAAGGTCTCCCTTTAGGTAATAAAAAAATACGGTTTAGGGCTGTTGTACAGAGGGTCGCTGTGAGTCGCAAACGACTCGACGGCACATAACAACAACAGCAAAGGTCTCCCTGTCCAGAACAAAGAAGAGGGGAGAAAAGCAAAGATAAAAGGGCACACTCGTCCAAAGAATGAGTGGACCATGTGAACCTCAACTTCCACGGTCCTGAGATTAGAAGAACTCGATGGTCCCTGGTTCCCACTGTTCATTGTCATACAAGGGATCACATTGGAAGGTCATAGATAGAGCAGGACGGCGGCTGTGAGGATGTGGGGTAAAATGAAAAACCTAAACAATCCCAGAGGTGAGCACTTCAAATCCACCAGATGCTCTGCTGGAGAAGGAGAGGCAATCTCCTCCTGTACCAGTCAGATCCGATTTGACCACACACACACACACACACACACACACACATTAAAACAAACAAACAAACAAACAAAAACCTAAACAGGACCAAGCTTACTATTGTCTTAGAGACTACGACCTCTAATTTCCCTTTGAACTTGGAACAAAGCTCAGATCCACTGCTCCATTTTCAATTGAATCTTAAGCCTCTAAAGGTGACTGAAAGCCACTAAGGAGGTATTCGCTAAAAGGGTGTGTGTTCAGGGGTAAACCCTGCAGGCAGGAAGGAATGAGATAGAAAGGTTAAAGGTTAATGAAAAAGCTTTAAAGAGTGGGAACTGTGATCACACTAATTCATGTTATGAAACAAATGTGTGTGAAGAGTTCAATGAAAACACCAGTATATCCTCAAATCACAAGAAAGAAATAAAATATGAGCGAAAAGGAGGCAAAGATTATGACGTAGAAGATGACAATGACTTCTACTGAACATGAAAGTGTTTAAGACGACCTAGGTTGTGGTTCGATTCATTCAAGCCAACTTCAGAGTTACGTGCCATCAAGTCAGCTCCCAGCCATAGCGACCCTCTATACAACAGGTCAGAATCCTGCTCGGTCTTGAGCCCGTTTCACTGTCTCTGACATACCCACTCCCATTATCCCACCTACTCCGTTAATCCGTCTCCTCCAGGGTCTTCCTCTCTAAGGACTGGCCCCTCCTGGCAATGTGCCCAGAGTATGTCAGACAGAGCTTCACAATCTTTCCCTCCAAGGAGCAGCCTGGTTTCACCCTCTCCAGGATAGACTTGTTTGTTCACTTAGCAGTCCATGGAATGGTCAATCCTCTTCTCCAGCACCACAGCTCAAAGGCTTAGATTCTTTTCCTGTCATCCATGTCCAGCTCTGATGCATAGCAAGTAATTGTGAAGATTATGACCTGGATCAGACACACCTTAGTCTCTAGACTGATGTCATTGATCTTTCTGGTTCTTCAGTGCTCTGGAGGGATCCCTGACAGCCGATTTCCCCAATGCAAATCATCTTTTGCTTTCCTGGCTTCTGGTACCGAGAATGTGACCCTATAAACAACACACATGTACTTTGCCCTATCCTGTGCCTTTCTCAGTATTTCTCTACTGTCCAAGCCCGTTATGGAGGTCACTGTGTCAATCCATCTCTTACACTGACCATCCGCCTTTCCAAGCTTCACGTCTCTCTCCAACGACTGGATCTTCCGGATAAGATGCCCAAAGTAAGTGAGATGAAGTTTCACCATCCTTGTCTCCAAGAAGCAACCTGGTTGCTCTTCTTTCAAGACTGATTAGCTTGTTCTCTTCATGATCCACAGTCCAGACAACGCACTTCGCCAGCACCTATCACGTTCTTCCAACCTCTGCCCACCTGCCTCTGCCCGTTACTGGTAGCCCTCTCCTCCCCTCCTCTGCTGCAAGCTCTGGGTCTAGTCTGGCTCAGGTCTAGTCGGGTGGAGACCCGAGTCCTGTGCTCGGATTCCACTCTCTGCTTAGAGGACGCATGCTTAGACTCAGAAGGACTCCTCCCAGCCACACCTCTGCACTTACTCCGTGAGACACACCCTGATCATTCAATATAGCAGGTCCTCAGTCCCGGCCACCAGGCAAACGGCTCCCCGTAGTTCTATGACGTTCTGGCACTCACCCATGCAGAAGAACCCCAGTCCACTCAGGTGTAGATCCATATAGATGATCTATTGGTGTATAGACAGATAGGATCTCTGTATAGATAGATAGATATAGATATATAGATAT